AGGAAAGGAGCTGCGAGAGGACAATAAAGATTACCAGCAAGTGTTACTGGACGTGCGGCGATCCCTGCGCCGTTTCCCACCAGGTGAGAGGGGATTTTCCTCTTCCTGCTCTGTGCTGTGGGGCTCCTCCTGGCTCAGACCTTGCTCGGGGGTTGCAGTAGGTGATGCTCTGTTGCTCCGAGAGCCTGGCTTCTAGAAAGCATTTTCCTTCTGAGCTTACAGCAGCTTCTTCACGCAGCGGAGCCGTTCTGCGGCTATCGGTTTCCTTCAGCTGCCTGTGCTACAGCTGGTTTTTGATGTGGCTCTTCCAATGTTACACCTCCCCCTGCCCCGCTGAGCCCCTCTGCCAGCAGGCCGGTACCGTCAAACAGTTGCCGCGCAGAGAGGCCCGGATCCTGCGTGCCCCTCACCTGTTGTGAGCAGGGTGAGATTAGGATAGATGGAGCGCTGAGAAATGTACCATTTGCTTCAGTTTATTTCAACCGTGGTCTAGCTCAGGGGCATGGAAAGCAGGTTTGTCAGTGGTTAGAACAATTTCTGGTGTAAAACAGTCTCAAAATAGGGTTCATGCACCAAATTTAAGAGAACTCTGAACCTTTAGAAGCAAAATGTTTTTGCAGTGTTTAGTTCTGATGGGTGGCTGGTGCCTTGTTGTGCTATTTATAAATCATTTAATCCAGCAGCTATCTAACTCTGCAGAGCAGTCGTTATTCCTGGCCAGAATCTGCTTCCCCTTTCTGCTGCTTTTATTTTGCATGAACAGTTGATTCACCCTGATTCTCTTTCGAGTGCGGATACTGTGTGCAAGCCTGATTCCTGAAGGGTCTGCTAGTACGGACTTCTTTGCCCTTGAATGGCAGCCTCCTGCCTATTTTTAGACACATTAGTGAAGCAGGGGAAAAGGAGAACTTTGTCATTGCAGGATCTCCGCTGGGACTTTCTGCTTGGCCTTTGGGCATTTTATCTGTTGACAAGGACTGCCAGAAACTGGCTGCAGCTGTGCATGGCAGGAACAATGTTTTTCCTGTGACATCCTGTCCCTAAACACATGTTGTTAGCAGGGGACCGATATAAACTTGTGGCGATGGAGGCCTCGCAGTCTGATGCAGTTGGCGCGGTTTCTGTGAAAATGGGCCCTGTTTAATTTTTTCTAGAACCCCTGGGAAATAAAAAATTATTAAAATGTCCTCAGCAGTGCTGGATGTGCAGGCAATTCGCTCTTCACAGCACTGTACAAACATCAGTAAAACCTGCTCCTGTCATCCACGGTGACTTCCTTGCAGGTAATGGCACTGCAGCTCTGAGGATTAAACAACTTAACAACTGGCCAGCTTCCCCTGGGCCATCAGAGTTTTGGGGGGCAGGATTAGCGCTTGGGACATTTTTTCTGCTCGTTTTACCTCCCTCCCCTTGGGATTGGGTGGGTTGGTAAATGCACAGGTCCTCTCCTTGCATATCGCAGCTGCGCTCGCTCCTGCGGCAGGCACCGGTGGGTGACACAGCCTGTCCCACCGCCGCCTGGTGCTGTCCCCACAGGGATGCCAGATGACCAGAGGGAAGGCTTGCAGGAGGAACTCATCGATATTATCCTCCATGTCCTCAAGCGCAACCCCCAGCTGCACTACTACCAGGGCTACCACGACATCGTGGTCACCTTCCTCCTGGTGGTGGGGGACAGACTGGCCACGGCTCTGGTGGAAAAACTCTCGACGCATCACCTCAGGTACTCACCGGGCTCAGCTGGAGGAGTGGAACCGCCTGCGTGTCCTCAAGCTGCGGTGCCTGCGGGGAAGCCTGTGCAGATGGGGCTGGCCTGTCCCGGAGCTGCGGAGCCTGGAAGGCAGAGCCTTGGGTTAAGGCTGGCTGCCTGTCATGTCCGTACCCAGAGGGGTGCTGTGAGAGAGCAGCGTGACCACACGATAGCACGTGGCTTTGCAGGGAGTTGTGCTCTGGGGAAGGGATAATTGAAGGCTGTCAAATTAATTTGTAACACCTCTTGAAGTTGAAAAAGCCAACGCGCATGCATTATTCATAGTTCTCTGGCCGTCTCTGCTGTCAGGGCCTCTCCGGCTCCTGGGGGCTGGCTCAGCACAGTGCCTCCTACTTAGCCTCGTACAGCCCTGCACAGTGTGGTCTGTACTGCCAGTGTCCTGAGCCCCTGCTCAAGTGACTCTCCTGTTTGTGCACTGAGAACAAGCCTTCAGCTGGGGGGTGGTTTGGAGGGATTCTCCCTCCTCTCCCAGACGGGGAGTTAGGTTTTGGGTGCTGGAAAGGCTTTACAATTCACGCATGCACTGCAGGAAAGTAAGAAGTGTCAGCTGACACCAGCGTGATTGTCTGGGTCCAGGTTTTCTGTGCGGATCAGCCCATGTGTCCCAGACAAGTGGGAAGGAGACTGTTCCAAATAGACAGAATTCCTTGGGGCCGGCGGCCACCCTGCCAGCAAAGCTGTTTATTACAAGTACATTTATTTGCTTTCTGGCTGCCTCCCTGTAGGAGAACTTGCTGATGTGATTGCTTGACGGACCTTCTTTTAAATCTTTCCTCAGGGATTTTATGGACCCAACGATGGATAATACCAAGCACATTTTAAATTACCTGATGCCCATCATAGACCAGGTGAACCCTGAGGTGCATGACTTCATGCAGAGGTACGCATTCCCTCGGAGCCTCCTCGCGCTGCCCTGTCAGTCTTGCGTTACTGTTCATGGGGCCGCTTGCACCAGCATGTCCCCAGCACCACAGTGGCTTCCTCAGAGTGAGTCAACAGCTGACCCACAGCTAACGGTGACAGTCCAAAGCCATGTGGCACTCTGCTTCTGAGCAGACTCAAACCTATGCTGCCTGTTTTGAGGGATTTTACGTGGTGCCATCTTCACCCCAGTGGTCTGCAGTCCATACTGGAAAGGCTGGGGGGGTTACAGACGGAATCATACAAAGCTGCTGCAACTGCTTCACATGCCCAGTTTTGTGGCTGGGGTCACCTTGCTGTAGTTTGTTGCTAGTTCTGGGGATCATTCCCAGGTTGTGCAGCAGGGACACACAAGTCCAGGCAGAATAAAGCAGAAGCAGGAAGGTAAGGGGGAAGGTTCAGTCCAGAGTCCTTTTCTGGGCAAGTGTCTCTGTTACGTTTCATGGCCAGGATGTCTTTGGGTGCCAAGCTTGATTAGAAACTCCCAGAAGTTAGTAAGCCTTTAGGGTGGAAAGGAATGTGAAAAGTTGGCTGTGCTGCAGGACTTCACATGTCCTTGGGTCAGCGTGCCAGACAGTGATGTGGTTCAGGTTCTCCTGAAAGCAGACCATTTGGACCTCTACTGTGGACCCCACTGGATGCAAGACGAGTAGTGGCAGTACTTTGCCTTGGGGTTGTATCAGAGGTACAGTTCATGGATCTGGACTGAGCACTGAATGCTCTGCTGATAGCCAGGTCTGTCTCCCCTCCCAGGCATGGAGGTGCGGCGCAGGGATCACCCAGGAGCATTTCAGCGCTCTTTCCAAGCTGCTGGCAGCAGCCAACCTAACATCACTTTCTCTCTGTGCAGTGCGGAGGTGGGAACCATCTTTGCTCTCAGCTGGCTGATCACCTGGTTCGGGCACGTTTTGTCTGACTTCAGGCACGTCGTGCGATTATATGACTTCTTCCTGGCTTGCCATCCACTCATGCCCATTTATTTTGCTGCTGTGGTAGGTATTGGCTGGAATGGTAGGGAGATTAACTGAACCATTGCGAGGTGCCGGTAGTTTGGGGCTGCAGAGGGGGGCTGGCAAACGCAGTGCTGCTGCTGTCTCCAGCTGCACCCTCCTCTGCAGGGCCCCCCAAGGCCAGCTATGTCCTTGGTGGTTGTGGAGGGCAGGTGGGATCCAGGAGAGCTCAGGGCAGCCTAGGGGTGTCCATATGTGCAGGCTGTTCCAGTTCAGTGCCGTGGAGCATGACCTGGTGTTTTTCTTTGCTTTCATGTGCTGGCCCTGCTGCTGGGCACTTGCTTGGGTGCTGGGGAGCCTGTCTGGCTGTGCGCAGCCCTGCGCTGTGCGTCCATCTGCCCTTTCTCCTACGGGGGGGATCCAAACAAATCTCTGAGAGCAAGTCGTGGAGTCAAGCCCTGCTGAGGTTCTACCTGCGTCTCTGACCTGCCAGTAGCAGACTCTGCTCAGAAGACAGATCTAACTACCCAGAAAGGGGCTTTCCATGGCCTCAGAATCTCGGGAAGGGTTTCTCTTCCCAGACAGGGAATGCTTCAGAGGAAGGGCAGGTCTTTCAGCTGGAAGTGAAATGTTTTTCTCTTCCGGCTCTGAAGTGAGTGCCAGGGAGTGACAAGGAGTCGTCCCCGCTTCCCCAGCTGTCCTCAGTGCTCTCGCTCCTCTCTGCAGATCGTGCTGTACCGGGAGCAGGAAGTTCTGGACTGCGAGTGCGACATGGCGTCTGTCCACCACCTCCTGTCCCAGATCCCACAGGACCTTCCTTACGAGACTCTGATCAGCAGAGCTGGGGACCTTTTTGTCCAGTTCCCACCATCCGAACTTGCCAGGGAGGCAGCTCAGCAGCAGGCTGAACGGTGAGTGCAGGACAGCCCATGTGCCCGTGTGTCCTGTACGCCCCCTTGTCAGGTCTTGCTTCCTCATGAAGATCTTCCTCCCTGGCAGGAGGCTGGTCCCGAAGGGGAGCTGGGGACACTCCTTGACCTGTTTCTTCTCTTGCAGAACTGCGGCTTCCACTTTTAAGGACTTTGAGTTGGCGTCAGTGCAGCAGAGACCAGACACTGTGTTGAGGCAGCGCTTCAGGGAGCGGCTCCGAGGGGAGGAGCGGACAAAATCCATCTTGACAAAGCCGAGGACCAACCGCTTTGTCAAGCTGGCGGTGATGGGGCTGACGGTCGCACTGGGAGCAGCTGCCCTGGCCGTGGTGAAGAGCGCGCTGGAGTGGGCGCCCAAGTTTGAACTGCAGATTTTCCCCTGAAGCCAGAGGAAGGGCCTTCCCTGTCACCACATCCTTCCCTGGTGGGAAGGGTTGATGTTTGATGAAAGGACATGTCCAGAAACGACCTGTCTGAAAATTATTTTTTATTCTTGCTGCGTCCAGTGACGCTTTTGGCCTTTGCGACAGAGACTGATGGGAACCAGCCCAGCAGGATTGTTCCCCACACCAACGCTCACCTTGTTCTCTCCTCCCTGTGCAGGGGTGAGCAGATGGGCAGTGCCACCGTCTCATGAGGAACCGGAGGTACGGACAAGTCAGGCTCTTCAGGCTGCGCACAGGTGACTGTACGAGTGGAGAGTCATGTGGGGGCTATGCTGAAACGACCTCATGTTCTCTGTTGGGGATAATTAGTGGGAGTGAGGGCAGATCCTCGCCTGGAGGAGAATGTCACGGCAGGGTTTGGCCTGGGTGCGTGCATGTGGGGGGACGAGGGTCTGTTACACTCCTGCACCGTCTGCAGGCTGTCAGCGTGCCCCGCCATCTGCGTTCAGCTTTGCCAGTGGTCCGACCCTTCCCTTTCCTGTAGGTAACCTCTGAGTAGAGCCAAACCTTTCACAAACCCCTGTCAGCGCCCTGCCATGAGGTGCTCTCCAGTGTGTAACACTCCCTGGCTCTTTTTGCTTCCTCATCTTTGCAGCCTGATCTGTTTACAGGAAAGAAGGGCAGGGGACGGGAGCAGATCCGCGGGATCTGCCAGAGGGTGCTTAGCTCTCGGTCGCTGAGGCTCCTTCGCTGGCAGTAGCGCGGTCGTATCTTGGGTCAGCGAGGTGAGAGACGAGTGTCACTCACCCTGCCCAAGGTATGTGCTGTCATGTGCCAGATCACATCACCACAAGTTTTAGTGGCACCATAAACACCCATTGCAGACTTTTTTTACAGCTCTGGAAGCAGGTTCTAACATCAAGAAAGGCTTTTTCCACCTTGTGAAACACTTTGCACGGGACAGAAGTCATTGTGGTAGGAAGTCTGTTAGAAATCTCCCCCACGAGCTGATCAGACTTAAGTGTCACCCCTCGGAATAACGCAAGTGAGGGAATTTCCCGGAAAGACCATCCCCGATCCCTGCAATGCTCCTGTCTCCCCACCCAGTCCCGTTAACAGCCCTAGCACTCCCTGCCCTCCAAGCTAAGCAGCAAATCCTTCTAGACAACTCGGGTGTCCCACTGAGACGAAGCCAATAGACACTGTATGCCTCTACCTCTCCCCTGAGCTGCTAAACCTCCCGCAAGTGCCCTTACCTGTCCCTTACAGCTCCCACCCAGCTCCCCCGCTGTTGCTGTGTTGTGCCCAAAGCCATCTGTGCCACACCCAGGGGCTGCACACCTGAAAATTAGGTCTTGGTTGAAGAGTTACGGATTTCAGGATAGAGAAGAAAACTTGTGCCCTGCAAGACTCAGCACCCTCCTGTCCCAACCCCCTGCCTGTTGGTTCATAACTGCCTCTGGGCAAGTTCTGGGTTGCCCTGTGGGCCCTCGCTCTCAGAGGGGCCGTGCCTTTCTGACCATCCAGCTGGCCGGAGGGTGTGCGGGCAGTCGTCACGCCTGACCTGTGTTTCTGTAAAGCTCAGCAGAGGAGTTTCCTTTGCCTTTGCAGGCTGAAATCCAGAGTGTGTGAATCTGCTCTCGTGCAGGCAGTCAGACCCGTTCCCTCTGCTGCTCGCTGGTGCCAGCAGCTGGCTTGTGCCAGGGCTGTCCACGCCGCTGGTGAGAGCCAGGGGCTGCTCGCGGGTTTCCTCTCCCAGTGTGGTTGAAGGCAGAGCCTCTTCCTGGCCCTCAGCACCTCCCCAGGGCAGCAGCGGCGGAGGGCTGGGTGATTTAGCACTTTAGAAAGTCGTGGTGCAGGAGTGTCTGAGGTGACTTGGGGGTGCTGCTCAAGGTCCTGGGACCCCCTCTGTACACTCCCCCACTGCCCCAAAGGAGGGGATGGCTGGAGCCCCCCCAGGGGGAAGCCCCTGCAGCCCCTCACTCTCTGGCCATGATGCACTTTAGTTCTTGCGTTGTCCCTGGGGAGGAAGGGCCTGGGAGGAGACAGTTGCTTCGGGTGCTTCAGTTACTCTGTACAAAGACTTATACATACCCGTGTAAATGCAGATTTGTACAAACCCTATAACTGTAAAATAAACAGTTACTAAACACACTTCCTTCCCTCCCCCTGTGCTGGCAGGGGCCGTGAGGTTGGGGGTGCCAGATCTGCTCTTGTGGCACCCCATGGCCCAGAGCTGGCACATCCCTGCGGTGGCCAGGCCAGCTCTGCGGTCACTGACCTGTGTGGCCTCACACCCGGCAGCCCCATGGGAAGAGAAGCAGGAGCGGAGCCAAACAGCGCTTGCATGCCCCGGTTGCTGTTGTCCTTCCATCTGCCTACCTTTGGTTAAACGCCAGGACTTGCATGTGCTGTCGGCTCTCCGGGGCGTACCCCCCATCAGCAGCACGGCAGGCAGAGCGGGGCT